GTGGGATGTATCAGTTTTACAGTGAAGGATGTGGTATATAACAGTGTTACACTGAAGGATGTGGGATATATCAGTGTTAGAGTGAAGGATGTGGGATGTATTCTTGTTATTATGAAGGATGCGGGATATATCAGTTTTATAGTGAAGGATGTTGGATATATCAGTGTTACTGTGAAGGATGCGCGATATAAAATTGTTACAGTGAGGGATGTGGGATATATCAGTGTTACAGTGAAGGATGTGGGACATATCAGTGTTACAGTGAGGGATCTGAGATATATCAGTGTGACAGTGAAGGATGGGGGATATATCAGTGATACAGTGAATGATATGGGATATAACAGTGTTTCAGTGAAGGATGTTGGATATATCAGTGTTACTGTGGAGGATGTGGGATGTATCATTGTTACAGTGAAGGATGTTGGATATATCAGTGTTAAAGTGAGGGATGTGGGATATATCAGAGGGTTAACAGTGAGGGATGTGTGAAATATCAGAGGGTGAACAGTGAGGGATTTGGGATGTCTCAATGTTACAGTGAAGAATGTTGGATACATCAGTGTTACAGTGAAGGATGTGAGACGTCTATGTGTTAGAGTGAAGGCTGTGGGATATATCAGTGTTACAGTGAAGGATGTGGGATATATCAGTGTTACAGTGAGGGACGTGGGATATATCAGTGTTACAGTGAAGGATGGGGGATATATCGGTGATACAGTGAATGATATGGGATATAACAGTGTTTCATTGAAGGATGTTGGATATATCAGTGTTACTGTGGAGGATGTGGGATGTATCATTGTTACAGTGAAGGATGTTGGATATATCAGTGTTACAGTGAGGGATGTGGGATTTATCAGTGTTACAGTGAAGGATGTGGGATAAATCAATGTTGATGTGAAGGATCTGGGATACATCAGTATGACAGTGAAGGATGTGGGATCTATCAGTGTTAGAGTGAAGGATGTGGGATATATCAGTGATACAGTGAATGATATGGGATATAACAGTGTTACAGTGAAGGATGTTGGATATATCAGTGTTCCAGTGAGGGATGTGGGATTTATCAGAGGGTTAACAGTGAGGGATGTGTGAAATATCAGAGGGTTAACAGTGAGGGATTTGGGATGTCTCAATGTTACAATGAAGGATGTTGGATACATCAGTGTTACAGTGAAGGATGTGAGACATCTATGTGTTAGAGTGAAGGCTGTGGGATATATCAGTGTTACAGTGAAGGATGTTGGATATATCAGTGTTACAGTGAGGGATGTGGGATATATCAGTGTTACAGTGAAAAATGTGGCATGTATCAGTGTTACAGTGAGGGTGTGGGATAATTCAGTGTTGCAGTGAAGGATGTGGGATATGTTACTGTTTCAGTGAGGGATGTGGGGTATGTCAAAATGAGTGATGTGGAATATATCAGTATTACAGTGAAGGATGTGAGATATATCAGTGTTACAGTGAAGGATGTGGGATTTATCAGAGGGTTACCAGTGCAGGATATGGGATGTATCAGTGTCACAGTGAAGCATGTGGGATATATCACTGTTACTGTGAAGGATGTGGGATATATCAGTGTTACAGTGAAGGATGTGGGATATATCAG